ATTTATCCTTCCATAGTCTATTTAAATAGACTATGGAAGGATAAATAGTAAATGTTATTACTCTAGTAGTAATCGACTAAATGGTTTTTCGACAAAATATTTTTCGACAAAAGATCATTCGACAAATTATGTTTCGACAAAAGGTCATTCGACGAACAGTTCATTCGACGAAAAATTTTTCGACATTCGACTAAATGTTTTTTCGACCGAAAATTATTCGACCAACGGCACCCTACTCACCTGAACCTTTAGCTGCTAAGACCCACTTTCGAACACATAAAGAAGCAAGGATCTTAACTCGTGGCGATCGTGATATTATTATTAAAAGAACAACTGAAGAAGTAAATATTTTCTATATTTTATATGTTAATAAATAATTATTCTGATTTATAATTAGTCAAGACGAATTGTTCCATATAATATTAATTTACTTGAAACATTCAAATGTAATCATGATATACAAATTATAACGGATCCTTGGGCAGCAGCTGAATATCTTTTTTCTTATGTTAGTAAAGAAGCTCATATGGAGAAAGATCTTGTACAACAATTAGCTGGTTGTTCTGCTTCAACACTTGAAGAAGCGAGAAGAGTTTTGTTGAAAGCAGGTAATGCTGTGTTATCACATAGACAAATTGGAAAAGTCGAAGCAGCTTGGTTAATTTTGGGTAAAATTAATGTTTTTTTAAGTATCTTAAATACTTTTTAATGTGTAAGGCATTCCACTGTATCGATGTTCAATGGCTACTGTTCATTTATATATATCTTTACCATGTCATGAAGATCGTTTACTGAAGAATATTAATATAGATATGAACTCTGTTGGTGAGCATGATTTTATTCAAACTATAATTCATCGATATTCAAATCGACCTGCTACTCCTGAAATTATTAACGATCTAAGCTTATTTGAATTTGCAATTTGGTTTTCAACTGATTATACTTCGTCGAATTATGAAGAAAGTGAAAACAATACATTAACACCTAATCCATTATGGAAGACAAATTATAATGAACCACCATTATTAAAAACATCAACACATTTTCCACGTATTATACTAACATCGGGTCAAACTATGCGTCAGCATCGAAATGCGAAGTGTGTCACATTTACCTGTCTACATGATGATACTGCACAATCGATTTATAGTTTATTGTGTTTAAATATTCCTTTTCGTGATCCCGTACTTGAGTTTTTAGGTGGTAAAGAAGGTATTAAACATATATTATATTTTAATATCCTATTTATAAAATATACTTTAGAACCAGAAATATATGATCTTCATCAAGTACTGGTACAACATCATCATCAAATTTCTACTCGTATTTTAACATTACCTGAATCATATCGAATTCAACTAAGTAATCTTCTTGATCATTTACTACATATTGATAAAGAAAATTATATCATTAATTATCGTGAATCTTTTATATTTACCAATGCAATTGAAAATGATGATGATGATAATGATGTATTATTTAAAACACGAAGTGATAAAAATGATAAGGATTCGTTGATAAATAATGAAGATCAATTGTTTAAAAATATTGATATTAATACAAGAGCAGAATCTGAAACGACAACACATTTACGAAATACAGCAAATCCTCAACAAAAATATCTTCTTGATTTTTTACAAGAATATTTTAATCATCTAATACAGCATTCTAGACGTCCATCATATGTAGTAAAACCGAAACCGTTTCATATTGTTGTGAATGGTCTTGCTGGATCTGGTAAATCTAATGTAATATCAATAATTGAAAAAATGATTCAAGAGTATTGTATATCCGAATCAGCTACAGTTTCACGCCCTCGAAAAAATCTTGGATTGCTTAAAATGGCACATACTGGTAAAGCAGCATTGAATATTCATGGATCCACTATACATTCAGCTCTTGAAATAGTAAATAAATAAACATTTGTTACTATTACATTGAATAATAATCTTATTTAGTGTCCAGATGGTAATTCATCACCAAATAAAATAAATTCTTTTAAACTTTATACATTAAGAAATCGATTAAATGGATTATTATTAATTATAATAGATGAAATTTCACTCGTTTCCCATGGATTATTTCAAAAGATTAACAAACGTTTAAATGAAATATTTCGTACATTCGACAAATCTGATACTTATTTTGGTGGTATACCTGTTATTGCATTTGGTGATATGGCTCAGATTGAGCCTGTCGCTGCCAAACAAGTATTTTATCGTCCATCGGGTGAATTATTTTCTTTGTGGCATGATTTATTTCGACCTATAAATTTTGATATTAATATGCGACAAGGTAATGACAGACTTTTTTTGATTGTTTATGTCGTATGCGAATGGGTATGTTTTATCTTATCGAATGTTGTAATTATAAATTGTCTATGAGTTAGGATGTTTGGATGACGAAAGTGAGATGTTACTTAAATCTAGAAGTATTCGTGAACAAGATAATCCTGAAGGTTTTAAAGATCGATTAAAAGAATTGAATTCACCAGAATTTGAAGATGCCATGTATGCATACGGAACTCGAAAATTAACGAATGCCAGAAATATAACAAAATTGAAGAAATATGCACTTGATACAAAAAATCCTATTTTTATGATTAATGCAGTGGATGTAAGATATTATTTTGATTTTATATAAAGGTAGCATATGTTTATATTTGTTACATAGAAAGTAGCTATGGTTGATACTTCCTTTTTCAAGTCCAGTAATACAAGTCGTAAAAATTGTAAAATAAATTTAAAACCATCAACTGATGAAAATAAATGTGGCTCATTATATCAACGATTTCCTATATGCGTTGGAGCACGGGTTCTTATCAGGAGAAATATTGATCAGGAAAACTATATTGTTAATGGTACTGATGCTATAGTTAAAGAAATAGTTTGGGAAGATCCAAGAGATTTTCTTACAAGACCAGTAGCATCGAATAATATTTTTTCAGAGCTAACGAATGTAGTTAATACGAAATTACCAAAATATGTGGAGTTAGGTAAAACTACATGAGCTATAGATATATTATCTAATAATAAAAAATTGATATGTAGAATTATCTAATGGTCAAAGATATAAATTGGAACCACAGGAAACACGATTTAATGATATGAATAATGTTGCTATGACTCGTTTACAATTACCACTTGCTCTCGGTTATGCTATAACAATACATCGTACTCAATGTATGACGTATTCAAAATTAGTGATCGATCTTGCCGGCAAATATTGGAAACCTGGAATGTTCTACACTGTTGTTAGTAGAACTCGTCATATTACAGATATAATCATACTAGCGTATGATCGAAAATCTTTCAAAGTATAGTGTATCGAATAAACTTGTTGACGTAACTAAAAGTTATGAAATAGGTTTCAATAGAAGGCCTGAACGAAATTGAACGTTTACAAAGAATAGAAAGAGAACATCCTATCAAAATTGATGATTATTTAAATGTATGTGTGAGTATATGAGAAAACGATTACTAAAATATTATTATCAAAAATATCTAGAATTTTGATGTTCCTTTACCCAACACCTCATCCATCGATGTTATAATAAAAGAAGAAACAAATAAGAAATGCAAAGATCATTTGAGATGTACTAATAATAAACGACGTAAAACGTCAACAAATATCAATAATAATATTCACAATGACATTTATAATGAGGATATTCATCCAGAAGATGCTATAGTTTGTGAAGAACAACAACTACTCTTCTGTGGACGACATGCTCTTAGAGCATTCGTACAAAATTTAGACCAATTCGATGATAGTTCCTTAGTTAGTATAGGACAAGAACTTGCAACTCAAGAATTATTAATTCATGAACAAGAACGTATTAATCAAGATATTTATTACAGCATTGAGGATGGATTTTATCACATTGAAGTTATCCAAAATGCTCTTCGAGAGGAGTTTAATATTGAGCTTATTCAATTAGAAGCACTTAATCGAACCGCTCATTTTATATACGAAGTGATCATGAATAATATTCATGATGTACAAGCGTTTTTTATTCATAAAGGTAACCATTACTTTTGCGTTCGACGTTTCGATAACACTGTTGATTATTTTTTTATCATTGATTCACTTTCACCGAATATGCATAAAACAATTCCACACAATCGTATTCTGGATTATATAGAATATCTATCCAAAAATGATGGTTTAATTTATATACCTGTTTCTGCTCATCTTCTACAGATGCATTCTATTCCATCGGATTTATTACATTCTGTACTCCACCCACTACCAACATGCGATGCAGATCAAGTTGTTTTTACTGTGAATGAAAGAACAAATTTCACTTTTAGTTAAAAAAACATAAATAATAAACAAGATATCTAATAGAAACATATTACATATTTAATATCCATGTCTAACAAGTTTATGACCAAATAAACTCTCTATTTTTTTCTTTTAATAACAAATATCTATGAGTATATTTTTCTCATATACTCGCTCAGAACTGATTATGTCTTCAACGAATCAATATTTAATTGATTGATTTTGTTTAATGCATATTTTTTTCAGCTGTAGATGAATTTCTCTAATATTTTTTATACATTATCCAAAATCCATAGATATAAATCTAATATTTGTTTAGCTTAATTTAATTTATTGGCATGTGTAATAAGTCAATTATGTTTCTATAAGAGATATATAACTAAATTTGTTTTATTTGCAAAAACTGAGTTAATTTGAAATATTAAATTTAATATTTTGAACAATTAGATATCATCATTACCATCAATATCTGATAAGAATTGATTTCATTTATTATATAAAAATAATTTGCTTGTTTAAATTAAAAGAATTAAAAATTGGAATACATTTATTTTTATTTTTATTTAAATTGTTATTTGTTCATCATATAAATATAAATAGTAAAAATATATTTATTTATTTAATTTTAATCTATTATTATGTTTTATTGCATAAATAAAATATTGTTAATACATTTATTAAATACAGACATTGTGAACATGTATTTCTTATTCAATAAGTGAGCGTAGAATGAAGAAATAGTATTATCTTTACATTGACAATTAGAGATG